ATCTTTGAAATCAGTTCATATGCATGTGGATTTATTTATTTTTGTCACTATTTTGAAGTGCGGTCACATGTAAACATATTTATATATAAACATATGTCATATCAAGCCAAATATATATGTATATTATATATATTATTTATATAAATATAAATGTATATATTTCAACTAATATGTATGTAAACATATCAACTATGGCACATATGAGTAATTGATTTTTAGTTTCTGTTAGTATTCCATTATATGTAAAACAACATTTTTTGATACATTACCCTATTATTGCAAATTGGGTTTTCGTTGGACAAAACTGCTATGGTTCATTTGGTGGACAATGTTTTTTCTCTTGGGGAAATACATAGAAGTGGAATGGCTCAGGTAAACTCTAGATATACGTTGACTTTGAAAAGATAGTAAAATCTATTTTCTACATTCTGACCTGACATTTGATATTGTTAGTCTTTAAAATTTAAGCCACTTTAGTGAGTGTAAAATGTTATTATATTATGTACTTAATTTTATTTTTTCTGATTCCAATGAGGCTTTGAGTATTTCCTAGGCTTAAATTCCATTTGTATATACTCTTTTAAGAAATGTCTTTTCGAGGATTAGAATGCTGTTTATTAAATTTTGCTTTTTTATGAATTTGTAGAAAGTATGTATTCTACATAGAAGTGCTTTTTCAAATGTATGCATTGTCAATGGTCGTTACTAGTCTATGACTTGACCTTTTGTAATCTTAATGATGTTCCCTCCCTCCCTCCTTCTCTCTCTTGCTTATTCCTTTTCCTTTTGTCGTTTTGTGATGTGTAATATACCAAACAATTTAAAGTTGTAATTTTGATAGTGTCTGAGAAATAGTTACCCACCCCCAAATCACAAATGTATTTGCTATGTTAAGTTATGGAGGCTTTATAATTTTGCATTTAGACATACGGTCTATCTCAAATGAATTTTGAAAAATGGTGTGAGGACTGGATTGGAAATCATTCTTCTATATGTTAATCCTGTTGTTCCAGAAAAACTTTTTGTACAGACTATACTTTCCTTAATTGAATTGCCTTGGTATCTTACTGACAATAAGTTGTTATATATCTATTGCTATACATCTGGACTCTATTCTATTTCATTGATTTATCTGTCTATAATTACATATTAATGCATCTTGATAGATTTTAAAGTTATTTAATTTTTTGAAATACAGTGTTACAGAAAGGCAGAGGCGGGGAGAGAGAGAGAGAGAGAGAGAGATAGATTTGCATCTACTGGTTCACTCCCCAAATGGCCACAACTGTTGGAGCTGGGCCAATATGAAGCCAGGAATCTGATGTCTCCCACGTGGGTGCAGGGGTTCAAGGATTTGGGTCATCTGCTGCTTTCCTAGGCACATTAGCAGGAAGATTGGAAGTGGAGCATCCCGGAACCCTTATGTAGAGGCTTAGTCTACTATGACACAGTGCTGGCCTCTCTTGGTAGATCTTAACTTCAATTTATGCCTGCTTGACATCATTATTTTAAAAACATTGTTTGCAATCCTGATATATTTATGTGTGTTTTTAATCAATGTTTTCTTAGAGTTCTTAAAGTTTTCTATGTAATAAAACATATAATCTGTAAATACAGAGTTTTATTCTTTCCAGTGTGTAAAATTGTCATTTGTATATTAGTATTTACATCCTTGTTAAGTTTATTTAGTGATGTTTAAGTCTGTGGCTTTTCCCTTGAAGTTTTAGAGAGTGCAACTTAGATTTGCAAATGCATTCAGGAGACACACCATACAAACATTGTTGTAATGCAATGCTGTTCTTTTCTTTCAATAATCAAATTTCCACCAATTTCTGATTTTGATAATTCTGTAATGTCTTCTATTTTTTATCCAGAGGTCATACTCATTACCCATACAGGGTTAAGTCCAGTAAAAGCTTCTTCACAATTACCAGTCTTCCTTTCCTTTTTGTGATGATGAATAGTTACCTGAACTGTCATTGAATTTACTAGCATATACTAAAGTTTAAAGACCAGATCTACTATCTATTATGTATTATGGAAAACATATTTTAAAGGTAAGTTACTAACTGACATATGTTCAAAAGATTTTTAGATTATATTAACTATACTGGACAAAGATGAATGAATTTCCAGTTAAATAAAATTTAGATTACTAATACAAATACTTTCCTCTGACAATAAAACTATTAGCAGAAACAACTCATTTATAATTGTGTTTTTTATTTTATATATTCAATTGTAAAAAATAATTTTTCCTCTATAATTATTTAAATAAGACCATCAGTTGCAACAGAGAGTAAACGTTTCCTAAGAACTTATAACATGTGAAACAGATGTTCTCAGAGTCCATTTGCAGATCATTTTTTACTGCGATTTGAATAAATTATATAAATTCCTTACATCCTTGGCAAGATCAACTATATCATATTATTTTTCTAATTTTATAAAAGCAGGTTGCAAGGCATAAAACTACCTTCAGTTTGGTGCTGAATGGTGATACTGAACAAATGCAAATCTTGCATATTCATATCTATAACACTATACCATTGTCACCTCCCGCTGAGCTTGGAAATGTGAGAACCTTACAGCAAGTGGCGTTTACCCTATACTGCTGTGAAGTTCACTCTTTACCCAAAGCCTCCATGGCACTTAAAGTTTCAGGTTCAAAATATAACTCTTCCATCAGTTATTCCCTATGTTATGTCTACTTTGCCAATTTGACATCCAAAAAGCAAACAAAGGACTTATAGGCTAGAATTTCAGAGGTTTTAGAGGACACACATTCCCTCTATTCTTTCTTTAGGCAGTTGTTACTGTACATATGGAGCTTTGGGTATTTTATCCTGTAAATGACTGGCATGCATTTTCTTCTAAGCTATTCCCTACCACATGCCATCATTCTAGACTAGGAAGGAAGGAAACAACCCTGCTCTTTCTGGTATGGTGCTAACATTTCATTATTTGCTACTCCAGGTCTAAATATGGCAGTGAAAGTTCATTGTGATTATATTTGCAGGTCACACATGCATATAATTTTTAGGTCTAGTGCCTGGAAATAGAACAGAAAAAAATAAGATATTAGGGTTTTATGGGAGTCAGAGTTAGTAGAGTTGAACTGGCAGTGTTTCCTGAAAGAAAAGGAAGGCATTTAGGTATTGGGTGAATTATTTTTGTGTAATGTAATTTAATTGAAAAAATTAATTAAATTAAATTAAATTTGATTGAAAAAAAACTACTATGGAACTAAGCCCAAATGATTCAACAAATATATATTCCAAGTCTACTGCTGGAAACTTGGCAGATACTAAAAAAATAGAGTATTATCTTGAACATCCTTATAGTTACCAGTTTCTAATATTATTTAGAGACTTGAATATAGGGTTAGAAAAAAAGTCCTTTTCTTTTTTTTTTCAGTTGAAACAATATACTGTTTAATTTTAATCTGTATTTCCTTTCTTACAACACTTTATATTTTCATAATTTTAAAATTTTCATAATTTTCATAATTTTAAAGATTTGTTTTTGCAAAACAGAAAGTAAGCTGTAATCCTTTGTTCAGTGTTCCATTCAGATGCCATTTCCTTCCTTTTTGTATCAATGTCTGATTTCTTTTAACTTTTATTTAATGAATATAAATTTCCAAAGTACAACTTATGGATTATAATGGCTTCCCCCCCATAACTTCCCTCCCACCCGCAACCCTCCCCTTTCCCTCTCCCTCCCCGCTTCTGAATACAGTTTTTCTCAAGTGTTGAAACTTAATTGAAAAGTGATCGCTGTTAAATATAAGAGTGGGAATAAGAGAGGGAAGAGATGTGCAATTTGGGACATGCTCAAGCTAACTTACCTCAAACGGTAGAGTTAGAAACATACCAGGGGATTCTAATTCAATCCCATCAAGGTGGCATGTACCGATGCTATCTCACTAGTCCCGGTGATCAATTTCTGTTCACAATTGATCATAATGATAGGACTAAGAGTCAAAGGGAGCACATAAACAAGAATAGTGTCTGCAAATACTAGCTGATAGAATAAAAAAGGGAGAGAACAATCCAACATGGGAAGCAAGATACACAGCAGACCCATAGAATGGCAGATGTCCTGAACGGCACTCTGGCCTCAGAATCAGCCCTTAAGGCACGCGGATATGGCTGAAAAGCCCATGAGAGTATTACAGGCATGGAAAGCCAAAACACTCTGGAAAAAAAAACAAAAACAAAAACAAAAAACAAACAAACAAACCTACATGAAAGATCTCCACGAGTGAGATCCCAGTGAAAAGAACAGGTCATCAAAGAAGGAGGTAGCTTTCTCTGAAAGGAGGAGAGAACTTCAACTTTGACTATGACTTTGTCTAAATATGATCAGAGTTGGTGAACTCAAAAGGCTTCCATAGCCTTGGCAGCTCATGAAAAGAGCCTAGGGTGATTACTCATGCCATAAACAAGAGTGTCAAATTGTTAAGTCAACAACAGGAGTCACTGTGCACTTACTCCTCATGTAGGATCTCTGTCCTTAATGTGCTGTACATTGTGATTTAATACTATAACTAGTACTCAAACAGTATTTTTCACTTTGTGTTTCTATGTGGGTGCAAACTTTTGAAATCTTTACTTAATATATGGTAAACTGATCTTCTGTATATAAAGAGAATTGAAAAAAAAAAAAGTCCTTTTCTATTGTTCTACTGCCTCATCCAGTCCCAAAGATCTCTCACTCTGAGCTTTTGAGGTGAATTTTCTAATGTATAGAATGCATCCTACATATGTGTAAACTTTCAGCTTGTCAAAGATAGGCTTCTTGATCTCTGAGTTTTTCCTTGGGTTTTATATATTGGAATATCATATCTTTGAACTCATTTTATATATTTAGTCCATATTAGTTTTCAAATATTATTTTTAAAATGTTTTTCAAATTTACAATACATGAATCATAATACAAAGGGTGTAGTGATTAGAATATGGATAAAATTAGGTAGCTGTCGTATTTCATTCCCTCTTGAGACTGCTTCTGAATCCGTCACTAGGGATCAGTAAATTCCACAAAGAACTCCTTAAACCTTAAATAGAACACAAAGGAACTAGAAGTTATTTTAAAGCTCACTGAGTCCACATACATACAATGATTATTTGTCAATAGCAAATTTTAAAAAATGTAAAAACATCCACTGAATCCAAACACTACCAAATAAACCAAAAGCAGAACAAACATTCCCAACAGGTCAAAGTCACTATCAACACACAGGACAAAAGATAAGTTTAATTTTAAGAAAACATGAGATCTATTTCTCTTAATGCATGTCAGAAACCTTTTTGATCTGAACAGACACATCAGCTATGCCACCCACCGCTTTAGCAATCTGGAAGCAGCTCCCCATAGATAAGGAGCTGGAAACTGCTGGGTAATCGCATCCAGAGAAGAAATCCGTGGTGCACCCGTTCTGATTTCACATCATACCTCGAGGAGAAGACACACAGGAGGCTCGTAATTCTATCATTGCCCCTTTACGGTGGCCTGCACTTTACATAAACCCCAACAAATTGGTTTTTCTACTGTCAATGCAGGGTTTCAAGCAGGTAATTTTAAAGTGAAGTTTTATTAATGTTCATCTTAAAGTAAGAATTAAATAGGAGTTGGCTATAATGGACACTATATGCAGCAGGATTTTTAGAAAATAAATTGCGATTATTATCTCTTTATCTTCATCAACTAAAAAACCTCAAGATTTCCGAGTAACACTAAGCTTTGCCTAGAATTGTCATATTGGAAACCCAGACTTTTCAGTCTGTTTACTGTTTTAAAAAATACTGAAATCCCCAAAATGCTTTAATTCATATGACATATCTATTAATATTGATTGTGTTGGAAATTAACATGAAACATTATAATATTTAAATTTAAAAGTCAATGTTGACAAGTTTACTCATTATTATAAATATTATTGTAACTGAAATAAAATATACTTGAATAAGATAACCACTATTTTCAAGGCAAAAAGCAATGATAATATGATTGAAAAATATTTTTGCACATCTTTTTAATGACTGATTTATTAGAAGGCCCAGGGTGCTATGATCTGAATGTTTGTCTCTCCTCAAAGGATATATGTTGAGATGTAATCCCCATGTTCCAGTATTGTGAAGTAGAAGGCTCTGAGAATTGATGAGGCTGTGATGGGCAGAAATCTGAGAAATGAGTTCAGTGTCCTTATCTGAGAGTTCAATTAGTTAATTACTGTGATGCTGTAGAGCTTATGGAGGTGGATACATACTTTCTCAGGTTTAATTTTTTTTTTTTTTGCTTGAAACATAGCTATCACTTGCTTTTCTTGACACAAGAAGCTTACTTTGTTCATTTTTAAGAAAATATCTGGGCCGGCACCGCGGCTCAATAGACTAATCCTCCACCTTGCGGCGCCGGCACACCGGGTTCTAGTCACTGGCCACAGTGCGCTGGCTGGAGTGGCCATTGTGGGGAAAAGGAAAGACCTTTCTCTCTGTCTCTCTCCTCTCTCTCACTGTCCACTCTGCCTGTCAAAAAAAAAAAAAAAAAAAAAGGAAAAGAAAATGTTTGCCAAAAAGCAACTCTGTATAGCCACAGTTTGGGTGTCAGTCATTTTTTAAGTACTAACAATATTCTGTGGCAAAAAAGTCCTTGCCATAGTTCAAACAATTGCACAAGCAGAGATTTTGATACAAGCTTTATGTGAGAGAATATGTGTGTGTGTGTGTGTGTGTGTTGTGTTTTGTCCTATGATACAAAGTTATGTGTACTTCTGGTTTCACCACAAGGACATCCTTAACGAAAATTTGCAATATTTTTCATTTAACATTGTAAGGGCATGGTATTGGAAACTGCAATGAACACTAGTGAGATTTTAAGACACTTTTTTTTTTTTTTGAAAATCCAAGTTTCAAAGAGGCAGAGGCAGAGAGAGAGAGAGAGAGAGAGAGAGAGAGAGGTCTTCCATCTGCTGATTCACTCCCCAAATGGCCTAAATGGCCAGCAGATCTGCGCTAATATGAAGCCAGGAGCCAGGAGCTTCTTCCGAGTCTCCCATGCAGGTGCAGGAGCCCAACTTGGGCCATCTTCCACTTCTTCCCCAGACGATAGCAGAGAGCTGGATCAGAAGCGTAGCAGCCTGAACTTGAACAGGTGCCCATGTGGGATGCCGGCACTGTAGGCAGTGGCCTTACCTGCTCTACCATAGCACTGGCCCCACCTACTTTGTTTTTTAAGACCTTTCCAGTTAGACCCATCTTTGCTTTTCCATCATTGAAATGTAAACATGCAGAAAAGATATCATGTCGAAGTATTGTTATGAAACTATCTTTGTCCTTTTATATTTCCTAAAAGTACCTCAGGAATTCCTGAGAGTCCTGAACCACACTTAGGATCTAGTCAAGCAGAGCAGAATGGAAAACAGGGATTTCAATCACCCTAATAATCTGAATATCAACGCTGACAATATTGAGAATAATTGGGGTATATAAAGGTTAAAAGGCATGTGGTACAGATTTGCTAGCTGTAAAGGAAACAGTACTACCTCATCTTAGAAATGTCAATAGGAAATGGATCTGCTTCCTGCACAGACAACTCTTTCTGAAACATTTTCTACACTAGTCTTCTCGGTAAGAACATTCTGTCTATCTAGACTCGGGTAACCTGGGAATTGTCTGAACTAAACTTTCCAATCCCCAAATAACCTACAAATTAATAAATGTAAAGACCTTAACTCCTATTTGTAATAAAGAAATTAAGTAACTATGTTTTCAACGAGAAGAAACAAAACAAAGCAAAATGAAAAACTCATGTGTTTTAATAATTTTTACTATTAAAATAGTGATCAGCTATGCCAGTGTGCTCACGAATCTGGCTTATGTCTGATCTTAGTATAATTATTGAGAACATCCTCTGCTCTCACAGGTGTCCCCGAAAGCATGATTAATTGTATGGTTACCTTATCTATCAGTGACTCCTGAAATAATTTCACACATGTCCCAGGACTTAAACCTTTAGTTTGCCATCATTTAGGAAGTTAATTTCAACACAATGTATGATCAATCAGTCTTGATAGATTCAAACTGTATCAAAAGTATGTTCTCCTAAGTAGATGGCACTCAACACACTTTTTAAAAATATAGAACAGCTTTCTCAATAAACTAAACTTGGAATGATTTTCATCAGAAACAATAAAAAATTGCTCAGGGAAATTCTAGGCAGGAGAGAGTGATGAATCGGACAGGTATCTTGAGTCAGCAAAGGGTGTAGGCCAGTTGTGATCATACTGTTGTGAAACAAACCATCTCAGTTTCCAGTGGCTTACAACACATGCACTTATTTTTCTTGCTCAGAGTTTTGTGGGTCAGAAGATTTGCCGTACACCAATCTGTCTATCTATAGGGATTCTTTACAGGGTAAAGGTTAAGTAAAGTCATGTTTTCCATTGTTCCTTGACTAGTATTGCCTGAAACAATCTCATGGATGAAGGGAGCAAATCAAGAGTCAACCAAATAAAGACAGTGAAGTTTCTGCTTAGTTTTCTACTTGTACCACACCTGCTAACCTTCAAAGGCCCAAGTAAGTTATGTGGTGAAATTTTAGCTTATTGAGGCTGAAAATTATATAGTGTATGGAGATGGAGGATCTAAATTTCTCGTCTTTGCAGAAAAATAAATGAGAACTGAACAGTGTATTTAAATGACTCTCTGACAAAAACTGAGGTTTGTGAGCTCCAAAAGGACATGGCACCAAGGATTGAAGAAAATTGTTCCTACCCCTTTGCTGTGGGTTGAATTGTTGGCCCATGAGGACATATTGAAGACCTAATAGCAGGTGAGGACAAATATGACCTTCTTTAGAAATATGGTGTTCACTGATTTAATAAAGTAAGATGACATCATTAGGGCAATGTCAATCCAATATGACCTATGTCCCCAAAAGAAGTACAAAATGTCATGTGGGGTGTGAGACAGAGGGGAAAATATCAAGTGATGCCATTCTTGCAAAACACCAGAAACTAGAAAGAAGGAAAGGAAAGATTCAAGACCCACCCGCTGCCCCGCCCCTGCCGCCCTTGACGTTTCAGGTTGTAGGTGGAACACGGCTCTGTCAACATCTTGATTTGGACTTCCAGTCTTTAGAACTGTGAGACAATAAGTATCAGCTGTTTCAGCCACCTGGTTACAGCATCCTGGTAAACTAATACACCTACCTGATAATAATCAGACACCTTGACACATCCTGATGAGGGAGAGAAAATATTTCAGCTGCTTAGAGATAGTGCCTGTATGAAGTTGCTCAGGCAAAATAAAGAAGCAACAATTTTGGAGTCACCATGACACTGGAGCTAAGTGGCAATGAGCTGAGGTATGAGACCTGGGGAAAATAGGCCCCTTGAAGTGACGGGGTTGGCTCAAACCACAATGGCCTCCTGACTGTGAATGTGGCAGGGATTTGGCTACCAAAATGTCTGGAATTTGTGGAATATTAACAGAAGTGATGAGTATAATTGGTGTTTCTGAAACAGCAATTTTACAGCAAATTCTGGTGGAGGTCTGTACAATAACTGTCGAACACGCTACAAGATAGGTGTCTCTTCTACCTCTTAGAATTTGCTGGGTTGCCAAAGGGATCATGGACAGCTGCAGTTTCCTCATGTAAATCTTCTCAAGGAGTTCTTTTTTCCCACAAATTTTATGACTTTGCATTCCCTTATTTGTATTTATCTTAATAAAGAGTATGAAGCATAATTTTTCCATTTATATTATTCCTGCTAATTTTTATGAAGACTATTAGTACTTTAATATTTAATTTCCAGTTCTACAATTTGTCCAAAGCATTTATAGTCATTTATGAAGCTGCTTTGTACGTAGAGGGTCAGTGATAATATTATTTACTTAATTTCTTCCTCAGATAACATGATTGAGAGAATTATTTCCCCAGTTAAGCCTCTTTGAGAAATGATATCCTATAGTAGGGCAGGAAGCATTGACCGAGAAAAATGAACACATAAGGATAATATAATATCTTTTTTGTAATGATTTTATTCTGTTTATTTGAAAGGCAGAGTTACAGAAAGAGAAGGAGAGACAAAGAAGAAGAGAATATTCCATCTGCTGGTTCACTCCAAATGGCCACAATGCCTGGGTCTACACCAGACCAAAGCCAAGAGCTGGGAACTCCGTCCCAGTCTCCCACATGGGTGGTAGGTACCCAAGCTTGGGCTATTCTCTGCTGATTTCCGGGGGCATTAGCAGGGAGTTGGGTTGGAAGTGGAGCAGGTGGGACTGGAACCTGTGCTCATATGGAAAGGAGGAGTCACAGGTAGTAGCTCAACAGACTATGCCACAATGCTGGCCCCACATAATATTATCTTGCTGCTGCTTTGAACAAGTATTTGAAGTCTTACATAGACTCCAATCAAGTTCCAGTAGTGTTTCACAGTTAATGTATTTTGAGTATAGCGCTGAATCCATAAAAATTGATTACATTTTTTCACTTTCTGTTATCTATCATTAGATAACTTAATAATACTAATAATGATGAACTTTAAGAGAAAAAAGAGTGGCAAACATATGGGATTTAGAAGTGGCATAATGTGACTTTTTTTCTAAAAACCAGCTGTCAGGTAAGAAAGACTCAAAGATTGTTTTCGTTTCTAAGGAGTTTTTCACCTTAAATTCAATTAAAATATCTTCTAATTTTGATTAAAAAATCAGCCGTAATTGCCAAAAGAAGTTCTTTGCACTTTGTGAATTGATTCCTACAAAAATCTAGAAGAGAGGGAAAGATAATACTCTCTCTACTTTTGGAAAATAAATTAAGATACAAATAGTCCAGGATACATGGCCAGGTTCCTATGGGTATCTAATTCTGTGATGATGAAATTAGAATTCATGTTTTTCATCATTCACCTTTCATTTCCTTATTCAATGGAGATATTTAATGGGAAAGAATACTGTTTATGGCTCTTTTTGAAATGACTTCTACCTTAAATTGAGATGATTATTGTTTTAGCATGGAGACCCACAAAATTTTTAAATACATGAAACTTTTAAGTAAAAAGACATTAGTTTATTTTACAACAAGTGAGTCAGAGCATGAGATACCAGGACTTAGAGAGAAAAATTTAAAAGCCCATAGTCTGAAGAAAATAAAATACACAAATCAATTTCTTAAGTGCTACTTAAGAAAGAGCCAATGGTCATTACTGCTTCATTGTTACCCAGTTGAAAGGTACCAGTCCTGGGCAATCCTCTTCTAAAAGAAACAACAGCACAGGTGATTTCATCACCAATCTTGTGAGCTCCAAATCTTGGAGCTACTAATGTTACAAGTCAAGAGTTGCAAAAAGGAGCCCTGGAAGCATGGGCTATCTGGGGAGTGAACGAGTGGATAGAAGATTTCTCTCTCTCTCTCACTCTGACTTTGAAACAAATAAATAATCTTAAAAATAAAGAGAGAGGGAATACCTTGTACATCATATTTTCTAATGCCTTTCTCTCTCTCCACCCATCTCTCTTTGTATAGATGTATGTTAAATAGTGGCTTAGAAGGAAGAGAGAAAATCTTTGTACCTAATTCTTGATTCTTAGCAGTTGGGGTTGAAAATATACTTTTCAAAGGAAATTGCCCAGAACTTTCATTAGGGAATTATATAGATGCATATAGAATGGATGAAAAATAAAAGAAGAAAAATTTAAAAATCATAAAGTTAATAGATTTTGACTTAGTAGCACAGTGAATGTTCTTGGTGGGGTGCATTAAATAATTTGTGATAGAATAAAGAGAGCAGTAGTCCTGGTGGCACAGAGGGAAACATAAAACAGGTTGCCCAATAGGGCTATTTATTGAATAATATCTTTGTATTAACTATAATACAAGATATGATTTATGAAAAGAAACAGCCAAGGGAGCTACATTCTTCAAAATTGTAAAAAGGTAGAGAATGTTGGCAGCATAAGAAAGATGGAGATAGGCATTTGTGGTTTTATCATGATCCAAATGGATGCAAACTTCAGTGAGCATTCTCTGCTAACAGAACAATATATAACAGCCACCTGAGAGAAGGTTGTTTCTAATAAGATAAAAGCTCACTCTATTCAGGGGAGTTTTTGCTTCTTTGAACTAAGATGCCAAGCTTCTACCCTCACAATCGTGTGTCTCTAACAATATTCGTGAACCAAAATCTATCAGTGTACCTTTGATCTGTAAGAAATGGGCCATGCAACAGAAAGTCAACAACATGGCTGGTCCCAGCGCTCAGAGAGCTGTCCAGTGGTAGAGGCAGACTCCACAGGAAGGCGTCGGCAGAACTGTGGTAGGAGCCGTAGAGGTCATTAACAGCCACAGCATGGAGGGCCACCACGGTTGATGGGATGGGTCAGAGATACTTCATGCCTAAACTAAACAGTTACAGAGGAGAACAGTTTCCTTGTGAAATTGGTGATGGCTACAGGCCATGTGTGTGACGGGAAGAACAAATGTAATGGTGAACGCTACAAAACCTATGAGGGATGACGGGTGTCAATATAGCTGGCAAATATTGAAGTGTCATGGGGAAGAGTAAATGGTGGTGCTGGAGACAAAGAGATGGTCTGTGGTTTTCAAAGCTCTAGAAATCCTGCTAAGAAATTTAGAGGTTATTTTCTATGTGCCAAGCACGTCACTAAGCCCCAAATAGATTTTTCCTTCTGCATCTGTTTTTTTTTTTTTTTTTTTTTTTTTACAGACAGAGTGGACAGTGAGAGAGAGAGACAGAGAGAAAGGTCTTCCTTTGCCGTTGGTTCACTCTCCATTGGCCACCCGCGGCTGATGCGCTGTGGCCGGCACACTGCGCTGATCCGAAGGCAGGAGCCAGGTGCTTCTCCTGGTCTCCCATGGGGTTCAGGGCCCAAGCACTTGGGTCATCCTCCACTGCACTCCCGGGCCACAGCAGAGAGCTGGCCTGGAAGAGGGGCAACCGGGACAGAATCTGGTGCCCCGACCAGGACTAGAACCTGGTGTGCTGGCGCCACAAGGCGGAGGATTAGCCTAGTGAGCCGCGGCGCTGGCCTTCCTTCTGCATCTTTCTCTTATTCTAAGCTCCAGGAGGTTGACACTTCAGTTTATATCTTCTAAGTTCCTGGGTGGTGGGCTTATTTTTATATATGAACAACAGAATTCCTGGCAAACATCTTTTAGGCAGAATTAGAGTGCTCTGAGATAGTTTCCCTCTGCTTCTTTTTGTTTTGTGCTGTGACTTTTCATTACTCACTGTGTCCCTCCATGGTGTAGGACACACCAGGGCTTACCTGTTAGATCAGATTCCCTAGAAGCAGAGAGAGGGATATGGACACATGCTCTTGAGGGACCAGCCTCAGAGTAAGTCCGTGCGTCCTAGAGAAGGTAGTCAAGTTCAGTGCAAAGCCAGGGGACATTGGAGTATGAATTTTTCTACACTGTTGGTTCTAAAACAACAACAACAACAAAACATATGGAACACATGGAGGTAAGTATAAAAGAAGAGACAGATTGTGAGCAATTGGCTCACGTGACTATGGGGCTGAGTGGTCCCATGATCTGGCTTCTGTAATTGGGTGTCCAGGAAGCTGTGGGATAGTCCTAGTCCCAGCCTAAAAGCATGGACGTTAATGGTATACCTGTCAGAATCCAAAGGATAGGGTGTGAGTCAGAATGGTGTAACTCCCAATCCAAGGGAAGAGGCCTAAGTGCCCACGTCTAAGGGAAGGAGATCACACGATGTGCCCACTAAAGACGGGTGAGTGAATTTGCTTTTCCTCCACTTTTTTTTTTTTTTTGACCTTTAACAGATGGGATGATACTCACTCCCATCCCCTTAACCAGTGAATTCAGACACAAATCTCTTTAGGAAACACCTTCACAGACACACTCAGAGATAAATTTTAATCAGTTATCAGGGTGAGGACAGAACAAGGCTTTGACCATCACACTGCAGTAAGAGTGCAAGCCTTGTGTGAGATTATTATTGAATGTAAACTGTTCACAGGAGGCCAGAGCATGTCCTTCTGGGTTCCTATTTAGCAAGAGGCAAGTCTTGAGGGAAGGATGAACTACTAGTGGCAAAAATGCAGCTGAGGGTCAGATGCACTGTCCTATATATCCATGTGTAGACATCGGTGTGTTGTCATTTTGTGTATTGTTCAGAACTATTGGCTCACTTGTTCACTCCCCATGGGCAAGAATGCTATATATTAAAGTCAGCATATACATAGAGAGTATATACAAAACATATAATAGAAAATCAATGCATATTTTTTCTGTGTATTTTATCATATACTGAGAGACGTAGGATGAAATATGTAGATTCATTATTTTTCTTGTAGCTCTGTTGATCTGTTTGCTTTATGTATTTTGAGGATGCCTTATTACTCCTTGTGAATTTTCTTCTAAATTTTATACCTTAACATATACTTGTCTCATATTTATAGAGCTGGAGTAGCTGTCTTTTGGTTAGAGTTTATAAGAGCTAGCATTTTAAATTCACTTAAAATTTTGTGTTCTATGTTTTTATATTTCACTGATCTCTTAAATGTAACATAAAAGGCTAAATTTATTTATTTTTTCTTTCTTTATTTGACAGAGTTATAGATGGTGAGAGAAAGAGACAGAGAGAAAGGTCTTCCTTCCATTGGTTCACTCCCCAAATGACTGCCACGGCCGGCGCTGTGCCTATCTGAAGCCGGGAGCCAGGTGTTTCTTCCTGGTCTCCCATGCGGGTGCAAGGCCCAACCACTTGGGCCATCCTCCATTGCCTTCCCGGGCCACACAGAGAGCTGGACTGGAAGAGGAGCAACCAGGACTAGAAGCTGGTGCCCATATGGGATGCTGGCGCTGCAGGCAGAGGATTAACCAAGTAAACCACGGTGCAGGCCCTATAAAAGGCTAAATTTAAAATGTTTTTTTTTCTTTTGTCTCATCTATTTTTCTTTGTCTCATCTATTCTATGTTTATTTATTCATGCATTCTTTTAGATTATTTTATTGATGCATTTCCATTTTATAAACTTATTACTTGGAAAATAATTTATTATTTATATAATAGTTAACAAAAATATTGCAAGTGTTTTTAAGCTACTGAAGTCTAACAGAAATGGAATTTTTTTCTTATATATAAGCAAGATTTAGAATATGTTAACTCTCATGATGTTCTCATCCTATTTTTATGCTCTTCTTATTGTGTTTTAATCCTTTCTATATTTTAAAGCTTAAAAGGCATTAACAGTACTCTTGTCACCATCAAAATTCACTTAATTTCCCCACAGATTTATCTGTATGGAATATTTGATATTTCTATACCTTTAATGTAAGTCCATCTGCAACTATTTCCTTTATAACTAAAATGTCTGCAGTATAGATTCAACATTATCCCATTTCTCTCTTACTTTTGTTTTTCTTCATATTTTCTGTGCATATTTGTGCATATTTTATCTATAGTTTTCTACGTTCTTTACTATGTAAATTTAATGTCACAATAATCCACTGAGCTATTTAGCTTAATATTATTTTATTTTCCTGTTCTTTATATTTGTTTATAATTTCAGTTTAAATTCTTACTCATGCTTTTCTTTATAAACTTAAAGTATAAAAATGGCTTTTTTATATTTTTCTAATCAATTGATTATCCTAGTCATTTGAGAGATTATTTCTGTTTACTGTTTTTATCACTTGTAAAAATGATGATCTGATTATTTTTGGCTCACAGCTAGTCCATTTATATAAACTTGTTGAAATACTTGAGGCTGAGGATACTATAAAGTATATCCCTCCATTGAAGATTTGTATTTGTTTCTGCAAAGTTGGTAGGGCAAAGATAATCAAAATTTTCTAATTTTTTTTTTTTTTTTGACAGGCAGAGTGGACAGTGAGAGAGAGAGACAGAGAGAGAAAGGTCTTCCTTTGCCGCTGGTTCACCCTCCAATGGCCGCCGCTGCAGCCGGCGCACCGCGCTGATCCTGGCAGGAGCCAGGAGCCAGGTGCTTTTTCCTGGTCTCCCATGGGGTGCAGGGCCCAAGCACCTGGGCCATCCTCCACTGCACTCCCTGGCCATAGCAGAGAGCTGGCCTGGAAGAGGGGCAATCGGGACAGAATCCGGCGCCCCAACCGGGACTAGAACCCGGTGTGCCGGCGCCGCAAGGTGGAGGATTAGCCTATTGAGCCACGGCGCCGGCTAAAATTTTCTAATTTTAACAATTGAATTCATTTGAAATTTTCATACTTTAAAGTGGTTACATCCAGTTTCCCATGCTTGCTTTAATCTAAACTTTATGAATGTGTGTGTGGGGAGGATTTTCAGAAGTTCCCACATATTGGCAAGTTTGGGACTTAGATTTACTGCTGACCTCATTATTCTGTTCAAATTGCTGTTGTTTTGTGTATCCTGCATACGGCCATCAGGCCAAGTATGAAAAATAATGGCTTCTATTCTCTGCACCTTTATTCTTCTGGCACAAGCCTACAATTTTTCACTTGAATTTTCAGCTTCCTAGAGCTTTCAAGAAGATAGATTTCCTCTTGTTCATGTTTCTGGTTGCTCTCAGTAGGAAAGTTGATTCAAATGACTTAGTTTGCCTTACTAAAGCAAAGTCTTATAATTTAAATCTCTGTGATTCATTAAAACCTCAAACAAGGTTTTCTGAGTGTAACTCACATTAAATAACAGTTGGATCCTGATATTAATATTCTTTGTATACACTCACTTTCAGAAAATACACATTGTAGCTTTATGTTATAGAAGTTAATTTGGTCACAGATTGGGTATATTTGTGGGATCTGGGTTGAGGTGGCAAAAATGTGTTCTGCAACCCCAGACAATTAACATGTCCGTTTTTGATGATGTATTTCTTTTTTTTTAACTTTTATTTAATGAATATAAATTTCCAAAGAACAGCTTATGGATTACAATGGCATACTCCCTCATAACTTCCCTCCCACCCGCAACCCTCCCCTTTCCCTCTCCCTCTCCCCTTCCATTCACATCAATATTCATTTTCAATTCTCTTTATATACAGAAGATCAGTTTAGCATATATTAAGTAAAGATTTCAACAGTTTGCACCTGCATAGAAACACAAAGTGAAAAATACTGTTTGAGTACTAGTTGTAGCATTAAATCACAATGTACAGCACATTAAGGACAGAGATCCTACATGAGGAGTAAGTGCACAGTGACTCCTGTTGTTGACTTAACAAATTGACACTCTTGTTTATGGCATGAGTAATCACCCTAGGCTCTTTTCATGAGCTGCCAAGGCTATGGAAGCCTTTTGAGTTCTCCGACTCTGATCATATTTAGACAAAGTCGTAGTCAAAGTGGAAGTTCTCTCCTCCCTTCAGAGAAAGGTACCTCCTTCTTTGATGACCCGTTCTTTCCACTGGGATCTCACTTGCGGAGATCTTTCATTTATGTGTTGTGTTTTTTTTTTTTTCCCCAGAGTGTCTTGGCTTTCCATGCCTGAAATACTCTCATGGGCTTTTCAGCAAGATCTGCATGCCTTAAGGGCTGATTCTGAGGCCAGAGTGCTGTTTAGGACATCTGCCATTCTATGGGTCTGCTGTGTATCTCGCTTTCCATGTTGGATCATTCTCTCCCTTTTTGATTTTATCAGCTAGTATTTGCAGACATTAGTCTTGCTTATGTGCTCCCTTTGGCTCTTAGTCCTATCATTATGATCAATTGTGAACAGAAATTGATCACTTGGACTAGTGAGATGGCATTGGTACATGCTACCTTGATGGGATTGATTGGAATCCCCTGGTATGTTTCTAACTCTACCGTATGGGGCAAGTCAGCTTGAGCATGTCCCAAATTGCACATCTCTTCCCTCTCTTATTCCCACTCTTATATTTAACAGTGATCACTTTTCAGTTAAGTTTCAACAGTTAAGAATAACTGTGTATTGATTACAATACTCAACCAAAAGTATTAAGTAGAACAAACAAAAAAAAATACTAAGAGGGATAATGTATTAAGTTGTTCATTAACATTCATCGCAAGGGTTGATCAAGTCACCGTTTCTCATAGTGTTCATTTCATTTTAACAGGTTTCCTTTTGGTGCTCAGTTAGTTGTCACTGATCAGTTAGAACATATAATATTTGTCCCTTTGGGACTGGCTTATTTCACTCAGCATAATGTTTTCCAAATTCCTAACAGGTGTCACTTTTCAGTTAAAATTAAACACCTAAGAATAATTGTGTGTTAATTACAGAGTTCAACCAATAGTACTAGAACAAAAATAAAAAATACTAAAATGGATAAAGTTTACATTGTACATCAACAGTCAGGACAAGTCACTGTTTCTCATAATGTCCATTTCACTTCAACAAATATCCCTTTTAGTGCTCAGTTAGTTGTCACAGATCAGGGAGAACATATGATATTTGTCCCTTTGGGACTGGCTTAATTCACTCAGCATGAAGTTTTCCAGATTCCTCCATCTTGTTGCAAATGACCAGGTTTCATTGTTTTTGACTGCTGTATAGTATTCTATAGAGTACATGTCCCATAATTTCTTTATCCAGTCTACTGTTGAAGAGCATTTGGGTTGGTTCCAGGTCTTAGCTATTGTGAATTGAGCTGCAATAAACATTAATGTGCAGACAGCTTGTTTGTTTGCCAATTTAATTTCCTTTGGGTAAATTCCAAGGAGTGGGATGGCTGGGTTGAATGGTAGGGTTATATTCAGGTTTCTGAGGAATCTCCAGACTGACTTCCATAGAGGCTTAACCAATTTGCATTCCCACCAACAGTGGGTTAGTGTCCCTTTTACCCCACATCCTCTCCAGCATCTATTGTTGGTAGATTTCTGAATGTGAGCCATTCTAACTAGCGTGAGTTGAAACCTCATTGTGGTTTTGATTTGCATTTCCCTGATTGCTAGTGATCTTGAAGATTTTTTCATGTGCCTGTTGGCCATTTGGATTTCCTCTTTTGAAAAAAATGTCTATTGAGGTCCTTGGCCCATCTCTTAAGTGGGTTGTTTGTTTTGATGTTGTGGAGTTTCTTGATTTCTTTGTAGGCTCTGGTTGTCAACCCTTTATCTGTTGCATAGTTTGCAAATATTTTTTCCCATTCTGTCAGTTGCCTCTTTACTTTCCTGACTGTTTCTTTTGAAGTACAGAAACTTCTCAATTTGATGAAATCTCAAATGTTAATTTTGGCTTTGACTGCCTGTGCTTCCGGGGTCTTTTCCAAGAATTCTTTGCCAGTACCTATAACTTGCAGGGTTTTTCCAATGCTCTCTATTAATTTGAGGGTGTTGGGTCGTAGATTTAAGTCTTTAATCCATGTTGAGTGAATTTTTGTGTAAGGTGAAAGGTAGGGATCTTGCTTCATGGTTCTTCATGTGGAAATCCAATTTTCCCAGCACCATTTATTGAATAGACTGTCCTTACTCCAGGGATTGGTTTTGAATCCTTGATCAAATATGAGTTGGCTGTAGATGTTTGGATTGATTTCTGGTGTTTCTATTCTGTTCCATTGGTCTATCCATCTGTTTCTGTACCTGTACCATGTTGTTTTGATTACAACTGCCCTGTAGTATGTCCTGAAATCTGGTATTGTGATGCCTCCGGCTTTGTTTTTGTTGTACAAGATTGCTTTAGCTATTCGAGCTCTCCTGTGTCTCCATATGAATTTAAGCATCATTTTTTCCAGATCTGAGAAGAAGGTCTTTGGTATCTTGATTGGTATAGCATTGAATCTATAAATTGCTTTTGGGAGAATGGACATTTTGATGATGTTGATTCTTCCACTCCATGAGCATGGAAGATTTTTCCATTTCTTGGTATCCTCTTCTATTTCTTTCTTTAAGGTTTTGTAATTTTCTTCATAGAGATCTTTAACGTCCTTGGTTAAGTTTATTCCAAGGTATTTGATTGTTTTTGTGGCTATTGTGAATGGGATGGATCTTAGAAGTTCTTTCTCACCCGTGGCATTGCCT